TGAGTAATTTATGAACACGTGTTCAACGAAATTCTCAGACACCTACCGAACACAATCCGCTTAACAATGAAGGTTCTACATTTCATCTTTATCGTTACCCGCCAGGGGTTTACCTAAATTAAATTCTTGACCCTCTCCTTGAACATATTTCATAGAATTCATGTAGTCCAAGTATCAGCACGTTTTAAGTGTCTTACATCGTTAAGAGACAACTCTGCTTCACAGTCACGTCGTTAAAATGAGTTTTGTGGCGCTACACATGCCGTATACTCATTGTGGCCCGTTTGTCCTCGTTAGCATACTATCGAACAGAGTATTTTTTCTTAATTACGAAAAAGTTCCGAGCCGAGTGACAACCTCAGTCTTCTGTTTCACTCAAACATAGATACGTCCATTTTTATCCGCTGCGAAGGAACAAGCATGAGTTATATAAATGGGGATCGGGCATAGAAATTTCAGTTCTAAGTCCGACTCTCCACAGACGGAGTAAAGCGGGAGAACAGGAAGCCTACCACAGTAATTGATGGAATCGTATACTACACACAATTAAAGTAACCAAAGATCCGCAACACCTGAATATTCGCTTCAGATTAGCGCCCTCTTTCATCTTCCCATGAAAAAGCAACCGAAACATCGAAACCTGGATCAATGATTATATCTTGGGTCATCTACAATATCATCGTTGTGTTTTTTCGCAGTTTTTAAACTTTTTTGTGTAGACGATGGAGGCTGATGTGGAACACGAGCGAAAATTAACGATGAACGAAGTGAAGCAGAAGATGAACGTTATGGGAAATCAGCAGGTGCCAAACGAGGCTATGGAGAACATGGCGTAAAGTCGTCAACAACTTCTGCCAGCCTTCGGTACAGTTGACCATTACGATTGTTTCAAAGATGATCGATGGATAGTTTAGTACTTATGACGTAGATCTGGGCGTAGAGTTTTTTTTGCGGTGCTGTCATATCGTCATAAAATCGCTTTGGACGTGTGCTAGGTCTCTGAGGTTTATTTGACAGTATTGATGAACTGTTTTTTTGCATATTTCAAATAAAATCACTCTTGCATATGAGTGTTTGTTTCCGAAGATTGTACTTTCTGGATGTATTGAAAAGCATCATCCATCGAAAATAACACACTGTTTCAATGTATGTGCAACGTAGGCATGGACTATAGCGACGAAATGATCGACTGTTTTTTTCAATGGTATTCTGTCAGAGATGGACCTAAAGGAATTTGCGTTTACCAATAATTTAATTTTTCGACATTTGAACTCCTCAGTGACAAATTTTGAATTCTACCTGAGACATCTGGATATGTCCAGTTGCAGTTGACTGAGGTTTTCCGCTATTTATGAGCTGTAAATGGAGTTTTGATATATTACTACTTAGCATTTACACAAAGTATTTGTTCTCCAAGTCTTGCACTTTAAATTACAGTATAGTAATACCCGAAAGTTATGTGATAGATGGGTCCAACGGAAATCGTGTATGGCAAATTTGCGTATGCACATAAATGTATATAAATTCTGCTTAATTGGGTTCGAGGACTACCAGAAACTCTAGTTTAGATTTTAAAAAAATTAATAAATTTGCAGTTCTTTGTTAATACGAAATGTTAA